GGCCTAATTCAGCGAGTGTTGCTGGTTTGATCTTCTACCTAGACACTGCAACTTTCTTCATATCACTAATGAGACTTTCACGTTCTTGTAATTTGTGTGTCCACTGGAGTCTCACCCTGTCACCAAGGCTAGACTCAAACTCCTTGCCTTCCATTTTAGCCTCCCAAAGTGCTGGCATTCTCCTGCCTCAGCGTACCAAAGTGCTGGGATTAACGGCTTGAGCCACCACACCTGGCCTAATTTCCTTCAAGAACTTTTCCTTTGCATTTTAACACCTTGGCTACCATTTGGCGCAAGAGGCCTAACTTTCAGCCTGTCTTGGATTTTCACATGCCTTCCTCACTAAGCTTAATCATTTCTAGCTTTCGATTTAAAGTGGGAGAAGTGTGTCATCCTTTCACTTTAACACTTAGAGGTCATCGTAATTTGGGGGACACATTCAAACCATAGCAAATGTGAAGCTGCTTAGTATAGTGCTTGGCACATATTATATGTTTAATAATGTTATTTGGCTAAGAGTGGTGGTTCACGCCTATGATCCCAGCACTTTGGGAGGCCAAGGTGGGCGGATCACTTGAGATCAGCCTAGGCAACATAATGAAACCCCCTCTCTGAAAATAAAAAATATATAAATTTAAAAAACAAACACAAAATAATATCTGGATTTAAATATTGTATATTAACCTATGTATCTTAATACTTTTAATACAAGCCCATGCCTACCTCATTACATTTATTCTCAAACATTTTGTGTTTTCTATTGCTAATGTAAGAATGAGAAGGAAGATTAATTGCGAGATCAGAGAAAGCAAGGCTGGAAAGGCCGGTAGGGAGGTTAGGGTCCTTGATTGATAGCAGAAAATTTAGGCTTTATCCGGGCAGCAATTGAGGAGCCACCAAAAGAAATAATCAGTATAGTAACATAATTAGAGTTATGCTTTAGAAGGATTATTTCCGTTTTAGCATGTAGAAGGAGCATAGGACCAGAGCCACTGAGAGCAACAATTATGGCAAGGCCTTTCAGTTCTACGAATTGATATCAAGGCAGCATGATAATCAGGAACCTGGAGGGGCCGAGCGCAGTGGCTCACGCCTGTAATTCCAACACTTTGGGAGGCGGAGGCGAGCGGATCACGAGGTCAGGAGATAGAGACCACGGTGAAACCCCGTCTCTACTAAAAATACAAAGAATTAGCCAGGCGCGGTGGCGGGTGCCTGTCGTCCCAGGTATTCGGGAGGCTGAGGCAGGAGAATGGCGTGAATCCGGGAGGCGGAGCTTGCAGTGAGGCGCGTTCAAGAACCTCGGGGGTGGGGGATGAGGGGTAGGAGGCGGCGAGAGGGACAGCATTAGGAAAAACACCTATGTAGATGACGGGTTGATGGGTGCAGCAAACTACCATGGCACATGTATAGCTATGCAACAAACCTGCACGTTCTGCACATGTACCCCAGAACTTAAAGTATAATTAAAAAAAAAAAAATCAAAACCTGGTGTTTAAACCTACTAGGGGAGGTTACAGAAGGGTCAAAAGAATGTGGCTCATCTGGTGCTTTGAAACTCTGAGGCTCACATACGTACAATCAGTTTATTACACTTCCTTAGTTTCATAAAGATACACGTGTTCTTAGGCCTGCTTTTCATTTTTTTCTGGTTTTTTTTTTGATCCTGTCTTCTTATATATGCCGGTTTCAAAATGCCCTAGATGTTAATGGTCAACTTCTAAAAATGTCGAGAATTTGCACGGAAGGGGAAGGTGAGCGACTTGCATTGGGCCACAAGGAAGGTCCTGATTACAAGTGTCTCAATAGGAAGCAATAAGGAAACAGACAAATGAAGTTGCTTAGTACTAAGTAGGCACAGAAAGAAGACATGAGGTTTAGAGAAAAAGTAGGAATCCTGCATGCAGGAAGTGAGAACTTGAGAGAGAAAGACGTAAAAAAAAAATTTTAGGGCTTTTCTTGCCTGGGTGTCTAGGAGATTAGAAGTTTTATAAACAGGTAGAAGAGTAGTTTAGAGGATTCCCAGGAGAAGCTAGAAAGATAATTAAAATTTAGTTATATTAAATTAAGTATTGCCAGAAATTAGAGCAGCACTGTTCAAATAGGAGTTAAAAATTCAAAACTGGAGCTCAGGAGAGGTCAGAGATGGATATAAAGAGTTGAATATTGGGGATATGGGGTTCATACTTGCAGGAATGGATGACGTCACTGAGGATGCTTACCTGGTGCAAATGATGGGACGGTTGAGGGCAGAAACTGAGAAAATATCCCTTTGAGGGGCAGGAAGGAAAGAATGGTTTCCTGAGCAGCAGCAGAAAGTTCAGAGAGTTGGAGAAACTGTGGAGTGTAGAGTCTCACCTATGCTGGAGAGGCATCTGAGGATCAACATATGTCAGCAAAGTCAAGGGGTCTGAGATTTGGCAATGAGGTTACTACTGACTTTGGAAGTTCTTGGTAGAGTGGTGGGAATGAATGAATCTAATCGCATCTCAAAAGGATTGGTAGAAAGAAGGTAGAATGAAGTGATGTTGAGGCCAAAAGATAAACTGGTAGGAGAACAATCTCTTTATATAGCTTTTCTCAAGTAGGAGTAGCATGTTAAGCAAACAAAGGACAACAAAGAATTGACCTTATATCTACTGGAAAAACAGAAAATCTCCACACATTTTGAAATGGTCTGATTTATTGTGTAATTATTATATTTTTTCTGCTTAAAACTCTTCATTAGCTTCATTGCTTGATAAACTCCTAAGTATGATGTAGAAATTCCTCTGTGATCTGGGTTCTGCGTATTTCTCTAGTCTCATTGCTCACACCTCCTTTGCACACACAGCTTTTTCCAGCTTTTCAAATGTCTCGTGCTGGTTCTTGTGCTTGTGTTTGCAGCTTCTGGGTCTTCCTTCCAGTTCCCTGTTAGCTTTTTAAATCTTTAACTGTTTTCTCAAACTAAACTCAAAGTTCTTTTCTATGAGTAATTTTTGGGTGCTCAGGGTTGACATCAACATTCCCCTGTATTTCTATCACCTAGCTCCATGTTGGGTACACAGTCTGTATTCTATAAATGCTGAGTGAGCAAATAAATGAAAATGCATGTCTTCACATCACATCCATTTTTCATTTCAAAAACATACAATATAGTACACAGCATTTATTCTTGCCATACAATATTCATTTTTGTGATTTTGTTAAAACACAAATAATTTTTTTTTTTTGAGATGGAGTCTCGCCCAGTCACCCAGGCTGGAGTGCAGTGGCGCGATCTGGGCTCACTGCAAGCTCCGCCTCCCGGGTTCATGCCATTCCCCTGCCTCAGCCTCCGGAGTAGCTGGGACTCCAGGCGCCCGCCACCACGCCCGTCTAATTTTTTGTATTTTTACTAGAGATGGGGTTTCATCATGTTAGCCAGGATGGTCTCGGTCTCCTGATCTCGTGATCCGCCCTGCTCGGCCTCCCAAAGTGCTGGGATTACAGGCGCGAGCCACCGCGCCTGGCCAACACAAAATTTTAAGTAGCTCCAGCTACTCAGGAGGCTGAGGCAGGAGGATGGCTTGAGCCTTGGAGGTCGAGGCTGCAGTGAGCTGAGATCATGCTACTGCACTCCAGCCTTGGCCACAGAGCAAGACTCCATCTCAAAAAAAAAAAAAAAAAAAAGAGAAATAAAAAAAGAAAATTTAAAAATATTATTTAAAGCTTGTAACATAAAAGTTCTAATCTCATTAGTCTGTTGTAATTTTCCATTTCATTTCTAAACATTACAGCGGGCTATTTTTTCCCTTTATTTCCTTTGGAGCAATTATCCTCTTTATGACTCTAGTAAAAAGAATCAGGGACAGGCCTCCGGTTTAGATCTAAATGACTAAAATCAAACCAATTAAGGTTTCAGTGTTACAAGAATCAAGGAGGTTTTAATCTCAATTTGTGTTTGCATTTATGACCGTTGGCTCTCCTAAGGGAGAGAGGAGAAAAGATGGCCCCTACACCTGGTTTCAGGTTGATTACAATAAACAAGGAACCAGTTTAGTATACAAGGCTCGTTTTGCATTAAACACATTTTTGTGCAGAGGAGGTGGTGGTGGTGAAGATAAAATCTTTAATCAAATCCCGCCAATTTGCATTGTTCTCTGGGGGAATAGGCTTTCAAAAGTTAAGGAACAAAAGAGGATTTGGTTTTCCAATCTCCCTTAGGCGGCAGCAGATTATGAAGCAGCCACCGGGAGAAACCAAAGTATAAATTATCAAGAGGACGGTGCGTGCGTGCGTACGTGTGTGTGTGTGTGTGTGTGTGTGTGTGTGTGAGAGAGAGAGAGAGAGAGAGAAAGCGAGAGATACGAGGAAAGAGATAGGGAACACACATGCTAAGGCTCCGAGGCGTTTTCCACGATGTGCCTGGTTATGTAATGTTGATAATGAAACACGCTGCAACAGCATCAATGCATTCTTCCGACCCTGCACACCACCCCAAGCTGGGATACAATGGGGACGGGAGGAGGGGACACGAAGCCCTGTGCATGCAGACAGCTGTCCAGACAGAGGTTAACCAGGCAGCTGGGCAGAACCTGAGCCCAGAGAATTTCTGCTCAGGCCCCGAGACCAGCCCACCGTTGCTGTGGCTCTAAAGATGGGCAGAAGAACCAGTTTCAAAAATCAGGATCTGGGATCCGATCTCTTAGGTTTTTATTCAGCAGGCAGGGAAAAGGGGTTAGAAGCCGGAAATCTGCATTTCCACACGGCTCTGGCGACTGAGACAGGAAAGCATGCACCTCACGCTGAACAGCCACAGCAGCGCGTGGGCAGTGCGCACCCTCGCGGGGACGCGGAGCTCCTGGAGCGGGAGCGCGTGCAGTCTCGAGCCCGCCGCTCCCCAGCAACGGCGCATGCGCCCGTTCGTCCCTCAGCGAAGGCGCGCTGCTTGGCGGGCGGGCTCTTCCAATCCGAGCCAGCGTTCTCGGAGTACGTATCCCGGAGCTGCAGGCTGAGAGGTGCGGGAGGCGGGAGGAAGAAGCGGGGCCGGGCTTGAGTTGGGTTGACCTGTGAAAGTGTGGGAAGGTCTGCGAGAGAAGCCGAGTGTTTTCAGCTCCGGAAGTGGCAGTTGTAAACTTCACCTCCCGGGGGCTCGTCCCCTCTTGTACCGCTTTGCTCTTTGTCTCCCTCCTCCCGGGTCCTAGAGTCCGTCGTGTTCCTACAGTTTTTGCTCTTATCCCCGTGGGCTGCCTGAGCCTCCTTCTATCCCTGAGACTTCGAGCGGCTCTTGGGGTCTTGGGTGTGCAGCATGGATCACGCGAGACCCCTGAGGTAACCGCACGGTGTGGGGGCTTCGAGGCGGACGACCTGGGAGGGCGGTGTTGAGAGGGTTGTAGGGGCCCCTGAGTGAGTTTGGGGCGGCCCTGGGACTTTTGGCGTCGCCTTTGGGGCACGCCTCCAGCTCCTTGGGCTGGGTCTCCCCGCCCACCTGGAGGAAGATCTGCGTGGAGCATCCTAGCCGGAGATCGCTGCCGCTGTACCAGAGCGCCGGATAGGGACCAGAGGGGAGGCAGAGGACCGAGACTTGGAGCTTCTTAGGTTTACTGCTGCGGAGCGCTTTCCTTCCCGAGAATCAGTAATCCCCTCGAGGATAGGTACCACGTCTTTCTGCCCCCTCTCCCCTTTTTAAATGCCGGCCACACACTAGACACTCTACAAATGTTTGATAAACGAGAATGAGTTGTGCTAGACTGTCACCTGCAGCTTCTGCCTATCCTCCAAGTCTCAGAGTCTGAGAGACTTAGAATCTGAGTCGGCTGTGCGTTTTCCCGAAGCTGTAAATTTTCTGCAGAAATGGAGCTTTTTGAATTTTTTATTCCATTATGATATTGATCCTAGGAAAATACGTATTTCATGTATACATTTTATGTAAATAAGATAAATACGTCTTTATTAGAAAGAGTTGGTGTCCAGCTCTTTTGAATACATGACATACCGATGTTTTATGGTTTTCATAATATTGGAGAAAAGAACATACGCTTTTGTCACTTGTTTTGTTTAACAGCTAGTGCCTACTCTCAACAAAACAATGGTAGAGCAGAAGATGAACATGGTTTTTCATAAAATGCAGAGGAAACAAAGGCGGTGCAAGTTGCTAAGAGGAAAGATGAAGGGCATAGTCTTAGTTTGTAGCGTTCTGTATTAGTCTTGGCTCAGCCATTTATGAGCTGCGTCCCCGCAGGCAAATCACCTAACCTTCCTAGGTGTTAGGTTCCTTATCTGTCAGATAAGGAGGATGGACTTAGTCTCTAAAGGGTTCATTTGATTCTTTTTTTTTTTTTTTTTTTTTTTGGAGACGGAGTTCCGCTGTGCTCCCAGGCTGGATGCAGTGGCGTGATCTCGGCTCACTGCAAGCTCCGCCTCCGGGTTCACGCCCATTCTCCCGCCTCAGGCCTCCCAAGTAGCTGAGACTACAGGCGCCCGTCACCACGCCCGGCTAGTTTTTTGTATTTTTAGTAGAGACGGTGGCCGGGCGCGGTGGCTTAAGCCTGTAATCCCAGCACTTTGGGAGGCCGAGGTGGGTGGATCACGAGGTCAGGAGATCGAGACTATCCTGGCTAACATAGTCTCATTTGATTCTAAAACGTTTTGGTTGTCTCAGTCCCTTGGTCTTGGTCTTGTTTTGATGTTAAGAACCAAACTTTGCCTTTAAAGGTTCATTATGTAACTATACTGAAAAACACTTCCAACACAGGTGTGGTTACTAATGAAGACAGCATTGCATAGTGAAAGAGGATGGACTTAGCCAGATGTGGATTTGAATTCTCATTCTCTGGCTGATTTTTTTTTTTTTTTTTTTTTGAGATGGAGTCTCGCTCTGTCCTCCAGGCTGGAGTGCAGTGGCGGGATCGGGGCTCACTGCGAGCTCCGCCTCCCAGGTTCACGCCATGCTCCTGCCTCAGCCTCCCGAGTAACTGGGACTACAGGCGCCCGCCACCATGCCCGGCTAATTTTTTGTATTTTTAGTAGAGGCGGGGTTTCACTGTGTTAGCCAGGAGGGTCTTGATCTCCTGACCTCGTGATCCGACCGTCTCGGCCTCCCAAAGTGCTGGGATTACAGGCGTGAGCCACCGCGCCTGGCATCCTGCTGAATATTTTTACACAAATTACTCAACATCTCCAAGCCTCAGTTTTCTTATCTGTGAAATGTGCATAATAATCTTACAGAGGTGAAGGGATTAAATGAAATAAGGAATGCTGATCTCAGTATCTGGCATATAGTAAGTGGCTCAGTAATAGGAGTTTCTATCTTTTCATCCACCCATCCGTCATTTTTCCTCTGATCTGAGCAGACACACTAAAAGATGAGTACATTTGGGATGACCAACTGAAGGACTCAGATGTGAGGTAGAAAAATTTTTTACCAGTAGTGGCGCCGAAATCTCAAGTAGATTCGCCTTTCTGGCTGGCACCTCCTCTCAGGATGTCCGGATCACTGATCCCTTGGCCTCGATTACCCTTTAATCTATTTTAAAAAATGCTTCTCATTGATGAATGATATACATAATATCCCATCATCTATTTTAGTAGGAATGGTGAGATTAGTTCAATTCCACTATCAAAAAAAGATTATTAATACATTAACATAAAAAGCTAATTTGAACCTTGCTTTTCTTTATCTATCACTGCTACAGGATGGCCTGGTTTTGGTCCAGACCTGTGAAGGTGCTATTTGGATTGAGAATTGACTGAAGGTCTGAGTAATCTTTTGTTGAGAAGACCATGGCTTGTCAGTTTGGATATGGGGAAAAATGATATTTTTAAGAAATCTCTAGCAAAGAGCAGAAATGCTTCCCTGACAAGTGAGGTCTTACATGCTTCCCTGGATGGGATGAAGTGTGTCTTGAGGGCCAATAGCAAGGCACACAGCAGAGCTCTGTAGTCAGCTAACTTGGGTGTAAATCCTGACCCTGTCACTAGAGATGTGAGAGATGTGACTTTGGGCAAGTGATTGAATATCTGTAAGCCCTGGTTTCCTCATGTATAAAGTATGGATATTAGCATTATCTTCCCCTTGGGGTTGGTGTAAAGTGAAATGAAATAATATGTAGAAAGTTTTTAGTACAGTGCCTGGAGAAGGGACTTTTGTGACAGTTGGAATGATGACAGCAGGGAATGACTTTGTGTCATACAGTTTGTTCACAAATGATGATCAATTGAATATTTTCAAATGGAAAGTAATATTTATAGTTAAATATTGAAGAAGAGAAAGGCTGATTTTGATTGCATGTCATAAGGAATTTTTAATTACTCACATAGTTTGGCCAAATTGTGTATTTTAACTTTGTGGAGTTTCACAGGGAAGTTTCAAGTAAAGCCAAAAATAAACACTCTTTAAGGGCACTGCAGTTCTTTAACTTAGCTTCATATTCCATTGACATTTTCATTACTGTACTGTAACTCCCTACTTCACTGTCCTCATCATTCCTTGCCTTTTCACCTGGTGGAAGAAGAGGGAGGAGGTTTTACTGCACCTTCTCTGCCGTGCTCAATTGCATGGGAATCCTATCGTAGTTCAAATTGAGTCACTGACCATATCAACTTTGGTCCTTCATTGATTTAGTCTTCCTAGAACACACAGAGAGGTAAATCCTCGTTCTCTATGTTATCAGGAGCTGATATCAGCAAGGAAGATGAAGTAAATTTAAAAAAAAAGAAGACTTGATAAAAGACACACAGGCAGAGCTGGTGTGGAAACCCATTTTCCTGTCTTACCTGTCTGTTACTCAACTTTTTTTCACCTTAGGTTCAAGATGCTGCCTGCAGTTCTTTTTTTTTTTTTTTTTTGAGATGGGGTCTCACTCTGTAGCCCAGGCTGGAGTGCAGTGGTGCAATCTTGGCTCATTGCAATCTCTGCCTCCTGGGTTCAAGCGATTCTCCTACCTCACCCTCCCGAGTAGCTGGGATTACAGGTGCTCGCCACCACGCCTGGCTAATTTTCTTTATTTTTAGTAGAGACGGGGTTTCACCATCTTAGCCAGGCTGGTCTGGAACTCCTGACCTCGTGATCCACCCACCTCGGCCTCCCTAAGTGCTGGGATTACAGGCGTGAGCCACTGTGCCCGGCCTGACACTTTGCTTCTTTAAGGCCAGCAGGAGATTGTCATTCAGTCTGCTAAGATAAAAGTCTTATATAATGTAATCATAGGAATGGCATCCCTTCATCTTTGCTGTATTCTACTGGTTATATATCAATGAGCTAGAAGTAGATGAAACTTGCTCCTGAGCTATGGAAGATGCTATCTCTCTAGAGGACCATTCAGATATGAAGATGTTAGATGCCAAAATAATGCACTGAAGTATGATGATTAACTTTATTGAAACAATTTTATTAAAAGTTTGATAACTTCTTCTTCCCAAACTTCTCTGCCCAATATACAAAAACATGATTAGGGCCCTAACTATCTGAAATTATTTTCCTAAGAGATAAATAGAGGTCTGTTTATGCCTGTTGTGCCACCTGTGTGTGTGTGTGTATTTAAACTTTTCAACAAAACAGGAATATTTCATGTACGTGCTTTTGTGCTTTGGACATTACTCTTAAATACAGAAGGGTCCATTCCTTCTAGGTTCTAACTCTTACTTTCATTCCGAAGGAAGTTTCCCTGGGGTCTGACCTTTAGGAGCATGGTGATAAGGTGACAAGATTTTGGGACAGTATTTGAAGAGCTTGGTAGAGATTCCTTGGTGCCCCCCACTTAATAGCTGAATGGCTTTGGGCAAGACAGTTGAGCCTCTCTGAATCAGATGAGTTTTCTTAAAAAGGGAGGATAATAACCCTCAGGTAAGGTAACTTACAATTCAGCTTTATGTGTTATCAGTGGCCTTGTAGAAAGAACTTAGACTTCAGTGTCAGAGTTATGAGTTGGAATCTTGGTTCTGTAAGTCTGCGACTTTTTCAAGTTACTACTTTTTTGTTTGTTTGTTTGTTTGTTTTTGAGACGGAGTTTCACTCTTGTTGCCCAGGCTGGAGTGCAATGGTGCGATCTTGGCTGACTGCAACCTCCGCCTCTCAGGTTCAAGTGATTCTCCCGCCTCAGCCTCCTGAGTAGCTGGAATTACAGGCATGTGCCACCACACCCGGCTGATTTTGTATTTTTAGTCGAGACAGGTTTTCTCCATGTTGGTCAGGCTGGTTTAGAACTCCTAGCCTCAGGTGATCTGCCCGCCTCAGCCTCCCAAAGTGCTGGGATTACAGGCGTGAGCCACCACACCTGGCTCAAGTTACTTTTAATCTCAGTCTTGGTTTTCTTGGTAGAAAAATGGGATAATTCTTACATTGCAGTGTTGTAAGGATCACAATTCTATATATAAAATACCAAGTACAGTGCTTGACGCTGTAGTAGGTGCTCAGTAGATGAATGATGGTGGATTCATTTGTCTACCAGTATTTCCCACCTAGTCTTTCAGGTCCCTAGAGAGATGGGATCTCCCCATTCCCACATCATCTTGGCCAAAATTCCAACCTCTGTCCTAGGTCAGACTGTTCAATCAGCCACGTGAATCACTGTTGTAAAGATCTTTTGGATCTATATGTAGGAGCTGTTAGTCAGTTCTCAGCACTGAGATACAGTCTCCATCTCAGTCTGCTTATTTGTTTTATAGTTCCTTTTTTTTCGTTGATCTCCCTGAGGTCTAGATATCTCCATACACCTACAATTTCATTTATCAATTATTTATTACAGCTTTCCCCTAGACTGAATCACCCCAAGTATCACTCACTCCCTTCCTTGATCAGGGATCATTGTATTTTTTCAGAGAGTTCTGTGTTTAGTAATATAAATGGGTGGTGGCTGGGCACTGAATATGTGCTGAATATATTACTGGATTTTAAATATATGAGATTGATACAGTTATTCCCTTTATATGGTTGAGGAAACAGGCCCAAAGAGTTTTAAGTAACTTGCCCAAAGGCCACATACTTGTAAGATATTTATTAGAGTCTTAATTAAGATCTTTCTGAGTCCAAAGCTTATGGTCTTTCTTAGGATTCCAAACTTCCACTAGGGACACCAGGAGACCCTTTTGGCATATTTGTATTTGTGTGTATTTGGGCTTAATTATTGTTATTTCTCTGTTTAAAATGTTTACCCAGAGACTCCTAACACTGTGGTAAAGTAACTTACTTTGGCTCTGTATAATTTCAAATATCTCCTGTAGAAGAAGGTTCCAAAAGGTAGGCCAGAGTAAGTGACAGATACTCTTCACTTCCCTTCTTCCTCTTTGATTGCTTGGGAGAAGGACTTTGAAAGTTATCATGTGATCTTTTGGTTGGGAGTACCTTGGCATCTTTGATGTCTCATTTATGAAAAAGGCTTTGGGGACCCAAAAATGTCCCTGGACTTCATTTTCTTTCAAACTGAATTTTATGCCCTAGAGATAGGCACTGCATATTCTTTTTATGTTTTCAGGAATAAGTTTTTACTATTTAGATAATTTGTTTTTCATTTGAGAAAATAATCTAATAGTTTCATCATTACTTCTTTCTTATAATAAGGAACACCTTTTTAACATTTTGTCATTGTTGTTTTCAATCCTTTTTATTTTAAAATTGTTATTAGACAAAAATATTTTTTAGAAATGGTTTCACTATGTTGCCCAGGCTGGCCTCGAACCCTGGGCTCAGGTAATCCTCTTGCCTCAGCCTCCCAAGTAGCTAGGATTACAGGTGCATACCATGATTCCGGCTTCCAATCCTTTTTGAAAGAAATATAGTAAAACATTATAGCTTTTTGGAATACCAGTATTCATGTGTGTTATACAATAATTTAAAAAATACAAATAAGCCAAAAAACAAGAAAAATCTCCAATACTATCAGGACTCAAACTGCTATTGTATCATCTACTATTTTAACAGACCTTAGATCATCTAACCTGTAAGCCACAGACATCTTGGACAATTTTAATCACCAAGAAAGAAATATGTCATTAAGAAACAGCGGGATATTTTGAAAGAGTTGGAAAACATCATGAATTTGAATACTTTAAGTAATGGCACTGGTGATACCCAAAGGTAAGCCTCTAGTCTCTCCTTTTAGTTGAAGAATGCTTTTAGTTGCAAGGATCAGGGAGAAGTCAGTGGTTGGTAGAGCTAATTGTAAGAATTCTCATGGGATGGTAAGGGGAGTAGAAATTCTGTGGGACTGAAGGAGCATGAATGAAGCCTCATAAGAATTGGAACTGAATCTAGAGACTTTATGGGGATTTTGTGCTCCTTTATTAATTTGGACCACAAAAGTCCGTGTGTCTGAACTTCCTCCTGTTACTAGAGACTTGCTTGTTCTTTTCCACTACTCTGAATCTTTCCATTGTATTTTTTCTTATTTACAATTGTTTTGTTTTCTTTAACCTCTGTGGCTTTAATTCCTCTTTCTTCATTGGCCCAGCTCTAATTCATGGCTACTGTTTAAGCATTCATCTCTACGCCGCTCGCGCCGTTCTCCACTTCTTCACTGGTATCTCTCAGGTTTACCCTCCGAGAAGTACCACCTAATTGCTGTTCGCTCATGTGTTTTTGTACCATTGATTTCCTCCTTTGGGTGTGGGCGACGCCTTACCTTTTAGTTCATTCACCTCTTGGGGAGTGGGAGTCTATAATATAAAGACTGCGCACCAAGTACGGGTAGTGCCACTGCTCCTCCCTAAGTGTGCTTACAAAGAACTCAAGTACTGGAATTACAAAGTAAATGTTTAAGAAACTTTTAATAAGTCACTGTACAAGTAATATTCTGTTTGCTGAATCTAAGAATACAAACATTCTGGGGTTGTATTCTGTTTTTGTAAATTTCTTTAAAAATAATGCAAATTAAATATATTTTACAAAATCATCATGGGGTGGGGTGAAGATAGTCCCTCCTCATATTTAGTTTGAGAAGGACCTGATCTAGACTGCTTAATCAGCAAGGACGTGTGGGTGGCGACAAGTACCAAAGGACTAACGTGTAATCCTTACCCGTAAATTTGCTACACAAATGTTTCCACTTTAGCTTTTGAAGCTACTCACAGCCCCCTAATTTTTTTTCTTTTTTTTTTTTTTTTTGAGACAGAGTCCCTTCGCTCATACGCCCAAAGTTGAGTGCGTGGCGCTGATCTTCGGTTCACTGCCCCTCCCGCTCCCAAGTTCAAGCTGAGTTCCTCCTGCTCAAGCCTCTTAAGTAGGCCTGGGATTAACAGTGCCCTGCACACGCGTCGCTAATGTTTAAATATGTATTTAAAAATTAGAATATTTCACCTTATTTAGTATCCTGCTTTTTCAATTTTGGGGAAACTTCTTGCCACATCAATATATCATAATTTTAAAATTTTTATGAAGTGGGGTCTTGTTATGTTGCTCAGGCTGTCTGAAAACTCCTGGCCTCAGGCAATCCTCCTGCATCAGCCTCCCAAGTAACTGGAACTGTAGGCATGCACCATTGCCCCAGCTTGTCATAATTTTTAATGGCTAAATTACTTTTTATAATTCTAGAATTTGGATACAGTTATTTAAAATCTACTAATCTACTTTGTTTCTGTAGATTTGCCTTTTCTGAACAATTCATATAATTGGAATCACATAATATATGGTCTTTTGTGGCTTCTTTTACAGGGCATATTCCTGAGGTTTGTCAAGTTGTAGCATGTAGCAGCACTTCGTTTCTTTTTGTTGCTGATAGTATTCCATTGTGTGGATATGCCACATTATGCCCATATACCAGTTGACAGACATTTGAGTTGTTTCCACTTTTTGAGTACTATGAATAATGCTGCTGTGCACATTTGCATATGTCTTTGTGTTGACATATGTTTTTGTTTCCCTTGAGTAGATTCTTAGGAGCAGCAATGCTGTATCATATAGTAAATTTATGTTAAAATTTTCAAGAAACTGCCAAATTGTGTTCTCAAGTGGCTGGATCATTTTATATTATCACTAGCAATAGTTGAGGGTTTCAGTTTCTCCATATCCTGACCAATACTGGTTTTTATCTGACTTTTTCAATTTAGCCATTTTGGTGAGTGTGAAGTTGTATGTTATTGAGGTTATAATTTGAATTTTCCTGATGATTAATGATGTTGAACATCTTTGCATGTGCTTTTTGGTCATTCATATATCTTCATTGGTGAAATGTCTCTTCAGATCTTTTGTTTATTTTTAAATTGTGTTATTTATTTTCATGTTATTGAGCTTTAAGAGTTTATGTATATTTGGAATGCAAGTCCTTTATCAGATATCTTATTTGCTGGCCTGGTGCAGTAACTCATGCCTGTAATCCCGGCACTTTGGGAGGCTGAGGTGGGTGGATTGCTTGAGCCCAGGAGTTTGAGACCGGCCTGGCCAACATGGCGAAACCCCATCTCTACAAAAAAGTATGAAAATTAGCTGGGCATGGTGGTGTCCCTGTGTGGTCCCAGATACTCCAGAGGCTAAGGCATGAGAATCATTTGAACCTGGGAGGTGGAGATTGCAGTGAGCCGAGATCCTGCCACTGTACTTGAGCCAGGGTGACAGAGCGAGACTTTGTCTCAACAACAACAACAAAAAAGATATATGATATGCAAACATTTTTCTCCTGTTTAGTGGCTTGACTTTTCATTTTCTTAATAACGTCTATGGAAATGCACAAAGTTTTTAACTTTGATGAAGTTCAGTTTATCAGTTCTTTTCCTGTAGGAGTTGTGCTTTTGGTTTTGTATATAAGAAATCTCTGACTAACTTAAGGTCATGAAGATTTTTCTTCTATGTTTTCTTCTAGAAGTTTTGTAATTTTAGCTCTTATATTTAGTGCTCTATTTTAAGTTACTTTTTGTGTATGGTATGAGGTCAGGGTCTAAATTTGTCTCTTCGCATGTGGATAGACAGTTGTTCCAGCAGCAGCGTTGTTGATAAGACTCACCTTTCCCTATTGAATTGCCTTGGTACTTCTGTTGAAAATTACTTAACCATGTGTAAGTATAGGTTTATTTCTAAGTCTTAACTCTGATATATTGATCTACATGTCTGTTCTTTTTTTTTTTTTTTTTTTTGAGGCGGAGTCTCACTTTGTGTCAAGGCTGGAGTGCAGTGGCGTGATCTCACTGCAACCTCTGCCCTCCGGGTTCAAGTGGTTCTCCTGCCTCAGTCTCCCGAGTAGCTGGGACTACAGGTGCCTGCCACTGTGCCCAGCTAATTTTTGTATTTTTAGTAGAGATGGAGTTTCACCATCTTGGGCAGGCTGGTCTTGAACTCCTGACCTCATGATCCACCGGCCTTCGCCTTCCACAGTGCTGGGATTACAGGTGTACATGTCTGTTCTTAATCCAAAACCACATTGTCTTGATTACTGTAGCTTTATAGTAAGTTTTGAAATTAGGAAGCAAACGTTTTCCCATTTGTTCTTCTTCAAGATTGTTTTGGCTATTTTGAATTCTTTGTCTTTCCAAATTTTAGGATTAGCTTTTCAGTTTCTGCAAAAATGTCTGTTGGGGTTTTAATAGGGATTATATTGACTATGTAGAGTAATTTGGGGAGAATTGCCATTTTAATAATGTTGAGTTTTCCTTACATGAATGTGAATATGGAATGTCTTTCCATTTGTTTAGCTTTTCAACTTCTTTCAACAACATTTTGTATTTTTCAGTGTAAAAATCTTTCACTTTTTTTTTTTTTTGAGAACCTAAGATCTTTGCTGAAAAAAATGTTGCCCAGGCCTAGAGTGCAAGTGCATGATAATTGGCTCACTGTGGCCTCCAACTCCTTTGAGTTCTAAGTGATCCTCCACCTGGCATCATCACTCCCTGAGTAGCCAGGACTCAACAGGCCATGTGCGGCACCGCAATGGCTGCCAATTTTTTTTATTTTCTGTCCGAGCAACAGATGCT